CGCCACCCGAACCACGCCCGCTTCGCCACCGCCCACACGGTTTCAAGAGTTCGGAGTCCGTCAACGACGAAGACATCGAGCCAAGGGACATTGAGGACAGCGCTCGTGACGACGATGCTGCCATGGAAGCAAACCTCCAGCCGGCGCCACCGCCTCCTCACCAACCATTTTTCAAGCCGACCAAGCCTGAACCCATCTCGACCACAGCGGTATCTCCAACTCGCAACCTGCTTCATTTCTGATTGTACGTAGAAGGAAACCCGGCCCAGTGCAGACGACGCGGGTGACTTGGCGAAAGGTGTGAAACGACGTGATACGAAGCGGGCGACAGTCGTGCGGCGGTCGCAGAACAGCTCCGAGTCGGTGTCGCTGCTAAAGGACATCGAAGACGCCAAAGAGAAGAACAAGCTGCAAATTCCTCAGCGCTTGGTCGAAAACGAGATATCGCTCGAGTGTATTCACAATGTGTGAAACCCGCTAAGCACGGTCAAACCCACCGATGCGAAGAATCGGATCCACGAACGATGCGATGACTGCAGACGGCGCCATGGGGCATGTGGTCATCCTGTTGGCCACCAGGTTGTCTATGGTTCGGTTGGAATCGGTGGCAATGACGTCGTTTCGACCTCATGCAGGTGAAACACCTTCGCGAGGGACGCAGCAACCGCGTCCTGCACATCTTCCATCTTGATTTGCGGGTGAAAATCCTGAATGCTAGAGACCGCCTTGTCGTGGAGGCCGCACGGCACAATGCGGTCGAAGTCCGACAAATCCGTCGTCACGTTCAGCGCAAACCCGTGCATGGTTATCCACTTGCTTGCGTGGGTACCAACAGCCGCGATCTTGCTTTTGGGAAACGCGTGCCGCGAGTCAGGGACCCACACGCCCGTCAGTCCTTCGACCCGCTCGCCTTGAATGTCAAAGTGGCCGAGGGTTTGAATCACCACCTCTTCGACTTGACGAAGGTACCAGTGCAAGTCCTTCTTGAACGGACCTTGCGTGAGGTTCAAAATTGGGTACACCACGAGTTGCCCAGGTCCATGGTACGTGACTTCGCCACCACGGTCCACCTTGATGAGTTCGAAGTCCGAATTTGGCGCGGTCGTGTCGAACCGCACGTTGTCCATGGACGCGCCACGGCCAAGGGTGTAGACTCGTGGATGCTCAAGCATGAGGCACACGTTCTTGAGAGAGGCATCACGGAACCGCTCCTTGATCAGTCGCTGCTGCCAGTCCCATGCTTGACGGTACGGCACGCGGCCGAGTCGGTGGATCACGCACGACATGGCAATCACGAGGTCCGTCCGGATAGGTAGATATCCGGATACCCATCTCGTCAACATGAACGCCGGCGGTGGGAAGGTGCGGTACGGCGACGTTGACGTGTCTGCATTGGGAGGCGGCGCGGCGCGGAGGAAGCATCGGAACAGTGTTTTCTCAAGCTCAGATGAAGACGAGTCGGTCGAGCGTTCATCATCCATGCTGCATCGAACAACGGGCTCTCTCGATGCTGACTCGGGAGGAAATCGAAGAGGGCTATTCGACGCGGCGCATGAAGACGAACAAGACCTCGAGATGAAGATCAAAGAGCGACAGATGAAAAAGAAGGCACATTGGGACACCCTACAAGCGAAACTCCATGAAGCAATGCAAGCCGTCGACGCACACAAGAACGACGTGGAGGTGTTGACGATGCAGTTGGCAGCGGCACTGGCCAAAGTGGACAAGCGAAATCGACAACTCCACAACGCCAAGTCCCTTGTGCATTCCTTACAGAGCGACCTGGCTCTTCTTCAGGCACAGCTCGAGGAGGAATCGACAGCGCGACGTCGAGACCGGGAGGTAGTGCACTAGGTTCGTTTGATTGACTTTATGCATACGTGCAGGCGTGGGAAGGAGAACGCACTGTGCTTTTGCGAGAAATACAGTCGCTAAAAGCTGCCAAAGCGTCGGCAGCACCTCAACTGTCGCCAACAACGTTGCTGGGGAAAGTGTGGTCGCGGAAAGCCCCGACGAAAGACACGTTCGCAACCTCGCCTCCAGTCGTTCCCGTGGTAACCACACAACGCCCTGCCATGTTCGCGGTGCCAGTGATTCCGTCGGACGAAGAAGAGTCGTCCGATAGCATCCTGGGTCACAGCAGCGACAGCCAAGACGACTTGAGCGAGAACGACGTGTCGGTTGACGAAAGGGACGCGCCAGTTCCACTCTTCGAGGAAGAGGACGTGCCGGCAAACATTCCCATCGGAGTCTCGCGCATGAACTTCTACATGGAAGCCCGAATGAAGAAGGAAGCCGAGAAGCGCGACAAAGAACTCCAGGAGAAGCTGGAGAAGTCAAAGCTGCAGGAGGAATTCGACAACGAATGGGCGGCGTTAGCGCGGGAGACGCAAGAGCTGAAAAGGGCCAAGAAGCTGAAAAAGCCCACCAAAGGCAACACAAGAGTACGTCGACCTCATATTCGTTGTCGACAGCTCACTTGTCGTAGATGACTCGCCAACGACCAGCAAGCTTCAAGCAAGTGCCGGTGGCGTCACAACCACCAGCTGCAACGCCCCCACCACCACCTACTACAGCGCCAACTGGTGTTCCAGTTCAGAAAACTCGCGCGAGCAGCGCCACAGACTCTGCCGACCCGCCTGTCAACACGATTCCCCCGCAGTTGTCGCGCGCCACCATACCTCCCGTGACAACCAGCCCACCGCTACCCCCCGAACCGTCCGAGGCCGACATGGAACTGTACCGCCGTCAGCAAGCGCGACTCCACGAACTGCACGAAACAGGTAGATCAGGCTGTCGACTCTGAGTAGTGTGAGTCATCCCCGCTGTCGCTAGAGCGCGTGAAGCGGGAAAAGGCAGAAGAAGCGGACGCCCTGCGAAGACATTTGCACGCGTCTGTGGCGCAGTGGGCCGTTGGCAAGCCCCTCCTGGGTCTTCTCAACTCGCTCGATCAAATTCCCGAGCTCCAAGGAATCGTCGACTGCGCCGCGATCGTTGCCACCAACGACCCCGACAGCATCAAGAAGGGGTACCGAGCTCTCATTCGAGTCATTCACCCAGACAAGTTGAGGAATGCCTCGATACCGCAACAACTCGTAGCAAACGAAGTCTTTACTGTCGTCACGCAGGCCTTCGACGGCTTCAAGCAGTGGACCACGTAGCTTAATTGGCCAACACGGTGAAACTGCCTGTCAAATCGTAACGATCTCGCACGATGCAGCACAATGCAGGCGTTAGAGGGGCAAGAGCTCTGGCGAGAGCCAAGATTGCAAGCGCCAGACCCGAGTGGATTGTCAGTGGCGCCGTCGCTTGCACATGTGTATTGAACGGCGAGTAGGACGACAGGAGTGATGTTTGCCAGCTCAAGGCGTCCGAGACCGACATGGTATACGACTTGTGCCTGATCAAACCCAGCATTGAACGGCTGGCCCAGGCGGCGAAGAAAGCGCAGCGCACGTCCAAGCACTTGGACAAAGCGAGAGCTGAGCTGCACTATAAGGCGGTAGCTGACAAGCTGGACGCACGGGAGCGGGGACTCGCAGAATTGGAGGCCAAGCTCCGAGCCGAGCTGGCCGAGGCACGCAGACTTACGTATCCAAATGCCGGGCAAAGACCGCTGTCTAGGTCCAGCTGCGAGCACAAGAAACGATGCTCAAACAAGCGCAGCTCAACAAGCTCTACGAAAACATCGAGAAAGATTTGAATCGGAACCTCGTACGACTGACTCGAGGGACGGCGAGACGAGTGATCTTGCGGTCGCCTAGACGAAACAGCGCGAGTTGGAAGCCCTCGAAACGCGCCTGCGTGAACAAGAAGTCCACATCGCCCAGTTGCAGCTCCAAAGTTTGGAATGCGCTAGCGAGAGTGAAGCGAACGCCAAGGTGCGCGTGGATAACGGCATTGAATTCACAGTCCGCGTAGGCGAAGGAGGCACTGAGCCAGCGAGAGCATGAACTCGACATACGGCAAGCGGTGCCGTCCCATGCTGTGCAATCGAATGCAGGGACCCACCAAAGGTTGTGTGCTGCAGGAAATGGTCGTGATGGGCGAGCGACTGGCAATGCAGGAGCTGCATGTAAATCTCGACAGTGCGAGACACCGACTGACTGCGTCTAGTTGGCGACCGTTGAGAGGCAGGTGGACCAGCTCGAACGTGAAGTACAAAGCGAACGAGAGCGGTGGATGCGCCTGCGCGAAGAAGAAGCTGCTGCATGGAGAGCGCAAAAGGAATCTGAAGCGATGGCACTAGAAAAGGTTTTTTGGTCTCTACTTTAAAGCCATATCTGACATTTACAGGCACGAGATGAGCTCCGACAGTTCGAACAAACCCGTCACGACCATGTACTCGCATTACTCATCCTTAGCATGGGAATTCACTCGCTGTGCAGCTGCGACAATTGGAGCTGCACCTTCGAAAGATAGAGCTCGACCAAGCAAAGAGCAAGGAATGCGTCGACATGCAGCTTGTCGCGCTTCAAGCCCAGGAGACATTGCTCCAGGAGCGGCAATCCCAAGTGAATCTGCAATGTCGTTGTGTCTGTTACAGTGGCTCATGCGATTGACGCTTCGTTTTGAGCAGACGAAGACGTGGCAGCACGTGAAGGTCGGCTCATAGCACTTCGTGACGAGTGGGTGGCCGCCCAAGACGACCACACCAAGGCGGCCAACGCATTGCAATTGGAACTCAAAGCTCGAGTACGTTGAGATGAAGGTGAAAGCTTTTGAAGCGCACGCATGACACAGGAGCGGCGGCTGCAAATCTTTGCGTCCGATGCCGAAGCCCAAGTCGAAGTCACAGCCATGAAGCAAAAGGCGTTGGATGTCAAACTCCGCGAATTAGCACTGCGGGAACAAACGTTGGGTGCGAAGCAATGACGATCAGGCGCGCCGATCTTGGGCTCCAGGCCCTCCTCAAGTAGACGAACGAGGCACTATCGAGCCACGCAGTTCCTTTGCATTTACTCCAGTTGCATGCAGTTCACCTGTAACTGACGTGTCGGTTTCACCTCTCGTTCACGGTGGGAATGAGCGCCGCGGCGGCGTTCGCGCCAACGGATAGCAATGCCGCGGATGGCCCAAAGAACGAGCTCGAGAAACTGGAGCAGCTCCTGACCGATGTCGACGACGAGCCCGAGCTGACCAAGGATCAGTACATCGATATCCTCAAGGAGCGCCTGAATCGCCGCAACGTGCTCATCGACGTCATTCGGCGCGCGTATTACCACGACATTATCGTGATCAAAGACGGGTTGCTGGCCAAAGCAGCCGGCGGGACTGACGAACGCGTCAACGCGCTGCCTTCGGTCGACCTCCGCGACACTCTCCCGCTGTTTGCTCCGTCCGAGACGTACCTCCGCGTCCATCCGTGCGAAAAGTGCGGCGGCGTCGTGGAGTTAGTGCATGGAGAGACGAAGGAGCTGAACGAAGCAAGGCAGCAGTGCAACCGGGCGCTCAAAGCGGAGCAGCATACAAAGGGTACGCGAGGTTGACGGGTGTAGCCCCGAATTTGACACTTGGCAGGGATTGTGCACCGGTTACGCGGCGAGTTGAAAGATGCAACGGAGATCTCGGAAGCGCTGAATCAACGCATTCGTGGGCTCATGAAAGAGAACGCATTCACACTGGAACAGCTCCAAGTCGCTCGAAAGGCTGAGCGGGACCAAAAGAGCGCGCTAGCAGAGCTGAAGTCCAAACTCCAGCACGCCACAGCAACGGCTGAAAACGTCGCCAAGCTGACGCATCAAGTAGGCGATTTCTGCCTGCGATGGAACGACGAATCTCGTTTTTGTAGGTAAAGGTTCTCACGCTAGAACTTGAGCAAAGCAACACGCAGCGAGGAATCGCTGAAACCAAGCGCGATGACTTGCAGGACGAGGTCGGGATGAATGGATTCCAATAAGAATGGGTACCTCAAGCTTTGTTTAGTTTGATCAGCTGCACGAATCGTTCACGACGGAGAAGAGGGCTCGCGAGCGTTTTGAAAGCGACGCAGCAACTTTCCACGGCCAGTTGGAAGAAACCAAGTCGGAATGTGCTGTGCTGCTGTCCGAGCTCAACTTGCTCACAGAAAAACACAAAGTTCAGCTGGAAGTAGACGAAATCCTCCAAACCGCCCTTTCCAAAGTGAAAGAGGAATTGGCGCACCATGTCACGCGGTCGGAACAGATCAAGCGACAGCTGGAAGACCAGCTCATGTCGGAGGAGGTGGCTCGTGAAGAAGCCCAAGACAAGTTCGTCGATGAAAAGAAGCGCAATAAGCAGATCCAAAGGGATATGGAAGCAGCCCAGCGGGAGGCCGCCGTGTACCAGGACCAGTACAACGACCTCTTGCTCAAGCGGGACGTCGAGTTGTCCGCAAACCAAGCTGCGTTCGACGCCAAGCTGAACACCGCGGAAGGCGTGCACGATAAACTGGTCATACATTGAGTCCATTGCATGGCTAACATGTTTGGATGACAGAGGGCCCAAGTGGAGATCCTTGGAATGTGGGAAAATGAATGGCTGTCGCAGCTCCGATCTCGTCTGTGCGACCGCGACGACGACGGCGACGAGTCCGACAATGACGAAGACATCGAGCCAAGGGACAATGACGACAGCGCTCGTGACGACGATGCTGCCATGGAAGCAAACCTCCAGCCGGCGCCACCGCCTCCTCACCAACCATTTTTCAAGCCGACCACGCCTGAACCCGTCTCGACCACAGCGGTATCTCCAACTCGCAACCTGCTTCATTTCTGATTGTACGTAGAAGGAAACCCTGCCCAGTGCAGACGACGCGGGTGACTTGGC